CCGTGGATCAGTTTGGCAACTGAATTCACCCTTTCATACTGCCTCCTTCTAGTAGCAGCTTCAACCCTAGTCTTTTTGCCTCCTTTTCTGAAATGAAGTTTTGGGTAGCACCTGTATCCACCATGGCTCGAGTTTCCTTTCCGTTTACCAACACGTTCACATACATCAACTCGGAGTTTTTGGGGTGGCCCTCCGAGACTTCTCTTCCCATAGCACACATCATACGAATGGCCCCAGTCTTGAATGTTCTCCTTCACTAGGTTCTATCTCATCGGCCTCTTCACCCTCGGGAGTTTCTAAGGACATGGAGGACAATTTCTTTTGGAGATTGTCAATTTCTCCCTTGTGTCGACACTCAAACCACTTGTGCGGTCCTCGACAAAAGATACACGTCAATGGCCTGGCTACAGAAGATGAACTAGGGATGCTTCCTCTACTAGAGAAGGAAGAAGCTCCACTCTTCCGAGAGTCTTCTCCCCCGTTGTATCTATTGTTCGAGTTGTTGGAGCTTACTTGCAAACCATGTCCCGAGTTTCTAGGAGGGTTCGGTGTCGGCCCACTATTCCCTTTCTTCAAACGTTTCCCTTTCTCTGAGGAGTACTCCATCAACCTTTCAGCTGCGGCGATGGCTCCCGTTCTGGCGCCAAATTTCTCTTTCGGCCCACTCCTTCAAACCACGCACAAAGTTGAATAGGCGATCTTCCTCATACATATTGTGGATCTCCAACATGCACGCTGAAAACTCTTTTGACATACTCCCGGATGGAACCCTTATGCTCAAAGGCGGCGAGCTTGTGCGAGCAACAAACTCGGTATTCTCGGGATTAAATTGGGCCATCAGTTCTTTCTTCAGATCCTCCCAAGTATCCACCGACGTCCTCTTAGCTTAGATGTCGGCGTACTTGATGCACCACCAAAGCTTTGCATCATCCACCAAATACATAGTGGCGGTATCAACTTTTAACTCGTTCTCCAAGTGACAGACGCGAAAGTATTGCTCCATGTCGAAAATGAAGTTATCAACTTCCTTTGAATCTCTCGTGCCATTAAAGGTCCGGGGCTTAGGAGGTTTTATCTTGGCACCTCCACTTCCCCCGAGCCCTCTCTGGGCACGCATTAAAGTTGCACATTTGTCTTGTGCTTCATCAGCAACGCCTTGCACGAAGTTAAGTTGCTCCGTTAACCTATCCACGGTTGCTGCAAGCCTCTCCATTTGTTCGGCTTGTTTTATCACAATATCCTCGAGTTTGGGCAACCTTTCTTCGAGCATAGCCCAATGTTCGGACTTGCCTTCAAGCCAAGCAAGTCTTTCCTCAAATGTGTATTCATGCATCTCTCCTTCTTCTGCCATCTCTACGGCAAACCGGCTCTGTCACGATCCAAGTGTTACAACACCGGATCGTGCGGCACGCTCTCGTCTATTGGCGACAAGGACGCAAGCCTAAAGCAAGGGAGGTTCGTGAACACACAGCAACACGGACCTAGGGTGTCTCAAGAGGGCACACGATGACAACGAGTGCGGAGTCGGGGCTTGTGACGGCCGATACTTCGAAGCAGGCACAAGCAGAACCGACGAGATGAGGGCGTCTCTGGGGTCTCTTAGTTTGGTGAGGGATGCTTTAAAACAAGACAAGCACAATATCTATAAAGGCTTAAACAACACACAAGTCTTAAAGCAATAGCAACGGAGTAGAGAGCTTTGATTGAATAATCATTCGCTCCCTAAAGAGCTTTTTATTGCATTAGTAGAGAATGACAAGTGAACGTTGAAATGACAGTAGCACAATAATTCTCCCGAGAGCCTAGAAAGTATAAAGAAAGACTAAAGAGACATTACATAAGGGAAAATACAAGGAAAATAAAGTAGAATACATAATAAAGAGGTTGGATTCTAACACAAGGGCCCAAGAGAAATGGAAAGCTTTTTCGTAAGACGGTTGGAGTATCTAATTAATTGACATACTCCTCAAACAATTAGAAAAATTAAATATTTTGCAACATGGATATGGATGAGGAAATATAACATGAACTATGGATATAATTCATTTATGGATATCTTTAGCATTATCTAGTTGTGCATAGACCAATAAACTTATGAATAATTCGGGAGCAAAATAGGTCAAAAATTGCTCATAAACAAACAAGCTTACATGGACAGAATTCTGAAGATCAGTTACTTTGATCAGCATAGTGTTTGCTCAGAATAATAAATCAAGAATGTAGTTTATATAAAACATACAGAGTGGTTTTTACTTTGATTAACATAGTGTTCAGTCTGAGTATATTCATAGTGAATCAAGACTGTTATTTATGTAAAACATACCATAATGGTTTTCCTTCAAAGATTATGGTCTGCATATTCAATTAGTTGAAATTCAATATTACTTATTTGATATGCTTAAACTTCAAGTAAAGTCACTGCAAAGACAACTTTTCCTTAAAAAAAATATGTAGAATTTATTATGCTGGCAAGCAAGCTCAAAATGTTTTTTCTGGACAAGTATAGATAAAACAGAAGATCCTACCCTTGCCAAAAACTTTTTGCTATACTCGACATTCAGTTAAAAAATAAAATAAAACATGAACATCCCAAAGCTAGTCTCAGGTTGTTAACACCGTAATCATGGGTAGTTGAACGCATAAAGTGAGTACATAGTGAAAGAGAAAAGGGAGGAAAGGAGTGAAACAAGCCGAAAAAGGTTATTTTTATGAGATTTTTCCCAAGTTATTGAGCTTTTGGGTTTCTAGCCTTGGTTATGTCACTTACAGGCATATATTCTAAAAGTTGAGCTGAGATATCATCTGTTGTCTAAACCCCAGACCCACCCCATGTATAGCCTCAACCACCCCTTTTATTTCAATTTCTATGCCAAGTAAACCTGAGTGCCTGACATAGTTAATAACTTAATTTTATTTAATTCTTTCAAGAATTAGGTAAACAGAGAATCACTCCCGCAACTCACCATCCCTAATTTGCTAGGGATGGTTGGAACACTTGGAAGATAGGTGAAAGACATACAATCCAAGCTAAGAAAATCAAGAAGGTATCACAGAATCTATCTCCCGGAGGTTGGGATAGAAAGAGGGCTACCAGCAATCAGCTGACTAAATACTAAACTTTAGTGGAAAGCAAAGCTTGAACATTGCACTAAATTATATATGTGGCCCACTACTATGATCAGCATATCAAGAAAGTTTCTTGGTACAGAAACATGGAATTCAACAAAATCCATTGCTAAATATATTAGATAAAAACCATTTTTATAGCATATACTCCCTCAGCCCTCCATTCCTAAAATTTCAACTCACTTAGGGAAGTTTGGAACATGTAAGTGGGTGTAAGAAAAAGATGTACAAAAGAGGTGGAGTAAAAGGTGGAAGGTGTAAGAAAGAAAGAATGAGTGGGAAGGTGTAAGAGTGTGGGATACAAGGAATGAGGTAGTATATGGGGTTTGGCAAAAAATAGAATAAAGTAAAAAGTAGTTGAACATTCTAAAACACCAAAAATTAAAAGTGGGGAAAACTTTCAGGGTGTATTATATAATCACATTGTGACTTTAGTTAAAGCTCTTATACAACCACATTAGTCATGAGAATATATTGTTAAAAACATAGGCTCATTGAAACTATCAAAATCCAAACTAGACTTATATTTTAACCATTACAAACAATTAAAACCATTAAATTCATCACAAAATATGAAGGTATACTTCATTTGATTACAATGATAAACTGGAGTTATTCCAATAACTCCAAAATAATGTTTTTTATTTATGAAAGAATCCGCCTCAAGATTTGGCCATCTTACAAAAAGTATTATAATAGTATATGTGTCTAGCGGTCTAGACCAAAATGAAGTGTTGTGGGTACCTATATCATGAGGCGAAATAAAAGACCTAAGGCCTTATTCAATTCACCTGAAAATTATATACTGATAAGGATCAATAATTACTCCGTAAAATATTCAAATACGTGCCGATAAGATAACTTTGTAAAATAAAACAAAGTTTAAATGAGGGTTAATAAGGGATAGCCAAGTTCAATTTACATTTTTCATAAGTTCTAATAACTTTTTAAAGCTAAAGTAGTGTATGAAAAAGTGTTGCTTAGGCACAAGGTATTAGGAGCCATGCGCCTTGTGTTGTCCAGGCAAAGAGATTTTGGTGAAGCGCATTTGAGTTGCACTGAGGCATTGGTGCACCGTGAGATAAGTGAAAATCAGATGAATAGAACGCACCCTTAGTAGCATAGATAGAAATTTATGCAAATATATCAGCCATATAGGCATACACCCACCAAGTATCCATATCATATCATCAAACAATCAAAGTAACAAGTTCCAACCAAATCAATCAGACTATCGCTGTAAATGTAAGCAGAAACATACTATGTACTATGTCATCAAAGTAACAAATTCCCACCAAAACCATCAGATTATTGCCCTCGTAATTGTAAGCAGAACAAGTCTGTGCCATACTTTTCCTACGTGGGTTTATAGCAATTGAACCGAGAATATCAGAGTTCTAGCAAGCATAAACTTGAATAGTAACAGGGCCAAACATGTATAGCATCAGTTTGCATTAATGCTCCATTTGTAGGGCCGAGGGAGTGAAAAGAACTACAAGTCTAAAACCATGTCCATTTACAGATTAAGGTCATAATTTACATTGCAACATTAGCACAAAATCCATACCAAGAGTACAAATTAGATGAACATAACGTGAAAAAATCAAAAGGGTATTCCAAAATTCCATTTTTACCACACACACCAATGTAATATAATCAAAAGGGTATCCCAAATTCATTGAATATCAACATCTTCAACTATTAGTTAGTCAAATATTTCATCAAAATATAAACCCAGTATCATCAAATCTGTCAAAATACAACTTTAATCCGATAAATACAGCATTTAAACAAAGTTGAAGAAACAAATTGAGATGTGATAATGATGGAAATTTGAACAAAAAATGATTGATACAGAAAAAGAGATGAAATACCTTAATACAATCAGACTCGCTAAGACACTTGACAAGCTCCTCTGCCAAGCCTTTGCAAGATTTTGCCATAACCAACCACTCTAACTATTGCTTGCAGCTCCGAGGATTTCGCAGGTGAAATTAGCAGCAATTCTTCTTCTATGCTTTCGTCTGCCTTATTAAAAAAGTTTTTCTTGAATAATTTTTCAATTGATGTATTCATATCACATACTGTATGATGTAGTACCACGTAGATCTATTATAAATGGACCCAAACCCGAAAACTATGAGGAATTGCCGAATTGGGCTTTTGAAATCAACCCGAATTTAGTAGACCTGTATAATGCTCGTGTGATGCATGATTTATAAATTAAATAAATAATTCCATAAGAAAATAATAAGTATAATTCAATCTATCTATATACTATACTAAAAGACAAGCACCTCAATGTGAGACTGACAAATGTCTCAATATGATTCGCTGTCTTTTATTAATTTTTTTTATATAAATAAAATCCTATACATCTTATTCTAAATAAATACATAAATTATTATAGTAAAGTCTATTATAGTAAAGTAATAGACATATGTAAATAATAAAAGTTACATAAGAATAAAAAACTTGGTATAAAAAAATATCAAAATAATATATAATAACGGTAATTCGTATGCATGCAAGGTATATAGTAAGAAAAGTATAAAAAAAATATCTTACAATATATAAATAATTAAAGTTACATAAGGACAAAAAATCTTAGTATAGAAAATATCAAAATACATATGTATGGTAATTCGTATTCTAGCAAAAAAAAAGGAGAAAGATCAAAGATGTAGGATATCTTAAAACCTAAGGTAACATTCTAACAAAAAAATAAGGAATATCCTACGTATAATATTTTGTTACATATTTTGATCAAAAAACGGCAAAAATAAAATATAATATGTATATTAAAATCAAATCATATATATTCAAAAAATAAAATACGATACAATATGTAGGGAATAATTTCAAGCCTTTAAAATCCCACTAGCTTGAACCCCACTGTGATCATACACTAAATTACGGTGGCGTCCAAAAGGGAAGAAGATAGAGCAAAAGAGTCGCCAACAAGTTTTTTAAGGAACTTGTAAACCATCACAAGGTGAAGGTTACACCCCTTAACGATCCAAGAGATCGTCAACCCCATAAGGTCATGAACCAAAATAGGGTTCGGGGATGAAGATACAAATCCAACCTAAAAGAGATTGAATCTGCCCTAATAAGGCCTCTACTTTATTCTGCTCGTATTCATGTGCGCTTTCTGATTAACATGCAATCAATAGGATTAACCCTAAACCTGTTTAATCTATGTTGGTTGAATATAATGCACAAACAAACTATTATTGGCGATCACTTGAATTATAATCACAATTACCCTAACAAGATTATTAATTATCTTATTAAACGTGATTGCAAGTACAAGTTCCCTTTAAACATGCAATAAAAAGGTGATCAAGCAATAAAGAATAAAATATATCAAGCAACATAATAAATAATCAACATCATTAATAATAATATTATCAATCATAATTAACAATGATAATCATGTTAAAGTATAACAAGATCCTAGACATGATACTAACAAGATTAGTAACAAACCCTAGCATGTCACTAAGCAATAAAAATCAAATCTTTGGCCCTACATGATACTAACATGAATAAATATTAGGAAGAACGTAAAAGGCATCATAGCAATCATATTTAATATTAAAAATACCCTAGACATGATACTAGGGATATCATAATAACAATATAAACATGATATCTACATCATAAATAAATTAATCAATTAAAGTACTTATTTTGATGCCTCATACCTCTTTCTAATAACAAAATACACACGTTAGTAACTTCAAGGAAAAATAATAATCAAAACAATTAAATTAAATAATTGAAAGAGAGATTTGGGACCAAACCCTCAGAAATTAAAACCTTTCACGTCTAAGGACGAAGGCAACTTCGAATATGGCTAGGTGTTTCAAGATCTTGTGAATGCGGAATTTTGTATGAAAAAGCAAGAAAGAAAGAATGCTAAAGAATACTTGATTATGGAGAATTGGTGAATGAAAGATGATGATCGTAGATGAATGAATTGTTGATGAATGAATTGTAGATCCATGAAAACGGAGTTTTTATTACGATATTTATAGAGAAAATCAGCCAAAAAAGATAATTTAACAAAACAGAGTCTGAAGATCACAAAACAGGATTGGCGCCAGCCCTGGCTAGTTGGCGCCAGCACCAGTGGCAATGGCGCCTAGCGCCAAGGCCTGGGGTTGGACGCCAAACTGATTTTCAACGCGTTTTCGAAAATCTGATAAATTTCTCGACTGGAAGATAAAATAATATAATTCCATCGAAAATGCTATTTGATCTTGATTAAAACTCTGAAAAGTCCTAATTGAATTAGGAATGAAAAGAACCTTCTAGAATGTTCTAGAAGACTAAAACCATTCCTAATTGCATTAGGAATGATAAATTATATTAGGCCCTCCCCTAGATCATTGGGCCGTACATAAAGCTCAAACCGGACCCAGTTTAGTAAATTGGCCATAATTTCCTCAATATTCATCGGAATTGGGCTTATAATATATCGTTGGAAAGGTCTTTGCAAACCCCATCCAACTACACCACTATTGGACCCATATCTTGGACCAACCAAACTGGATTGGCTTTTTTTCTTAAAATAAAGTTTTTAAAATCAGGGAGAAGAGAAAAGAAATAAAACTTTCCGCAACACTAGACCTTTCCACACTTTCGTTTCATTTGATTATGATTCGACGTGAAAGGCACTCATCACCGGGTTTGGTTTTGGGGAGACACAAATGGGTTCTACAGAAGCCCCCACTTTGACTGAGTTTGGAGAAACGCAAGTTTCGAAAACGAAAGTCAAAGTAACGATAGGGACGGAGAATGATTTTGAACGTTCTGCGATCCTAAATCAATCTTGTAACGCCGATACCTGCAAAACTAGCATTAGTTAAACAGATAAAAGAGTTAAGAAACGCGTATCTTGCACCGTCGAGCACACGTCTCTGAAAGTAACCGATTGTTGTTGTACTGTTGTTTTGATGACCTCCTGCAAGCTAGAGAATGTCATCCCGCTTGAAAACCGCTACACCCGTAACCGCTTCCAAATTAGAAGATTGCTTCGCCTGAAACTATCCTCCCCGCTATGATAATATTCCACGTCCAAGGGAACATCATCGAAAATTATTTCTCTCGAAATAATTCTCATCCGCACTATGATCATCTTCCATGCCTAAGGGACTATGATCGAAGACAACTTCGCCTGAAATTACCTTCAGTTGCTCATGAAAACTTTCCGCAAGCCAGGGAATGATGTCGAAGACATCTTCTCTTGAAGTCATCCTCATTTGATGCAATAATTTTCCCAAGGAAATTACCGAAGATCCACACCTGTCGATCTTTAAAAGTTCGTCTGAACTTGCCTTTGCTATGCCTGTACGTCGGCGCTCTTTTGCTTTGAACCTCTATGTCGGTGCCCTTTGCTCTTGAACCTATATGTCGGTGCCTTTTGCTCTTGAACCTATATGTCGGTGCCTTTTGCTCTTGAACCTATATGTCGGTGCCTTTCGCTAATGAGCCAATGCTTAGGCGCTTTAAGCTAAGTGAGACGATCTTTTCATCAGGTCGATCACTTTACGTAATCAAGCCGATTACTTAATCATGTCAAATTTCTTAGAGGGGCTAACTGGCGTACCAAGGAACCCAAAATATACTGCATAAGGCTAGCACAACCCCAACAGGTGGCTGGCTGCTTTGGCGCCGCTAAAAATCCATCAGCGCCAGACTAATGGCATTAGCGACAGGCGCTGGCGTCAGACGCCAAGCCCAGAAAGTGACGCCAATGCCTAGGGACCGGCACCAGCACGAGAATCTCTTTAAATTCTCATTTTCGTTCATTTCTCGGCTCTGTTTGTCGCGAACGCTGCTCGAAGAAACCGAAAGCTTCAATTGATCGTTGCTCACTCGTTTCTCAACCGAATTCGCTCAAATTTGTTGCAAATCAAAGCTCTTTTCATCTATATTCCCGATCTATGTAAGTTTTCCTCAAACTCACACCGGTTTTTATGAATTCTTGGCATGTTTATTCATGAATTTCATGAAAATTCAAAATTTATAATGCTCAATTTGCTTTGTTTATCAAGTTTTATGCCATGAAATTGCTTGTTTATGTTTATATATTGCCTTGGGAGTAATTTTAGACTTGTTTGGCTCAATTTGATGAAGAAATGAGCAATCTGCCATTGTTGGACCTCTTAAGGTCGTGAAGAACAATGTGGCTTGTTCTTGACGTTTTGGCTAGCAATTCTTGTTCAATTTATCACAATAATCACTATAGTGTTGCAAGAAATTATTTGATTGCTTGGAAAATGTCATCATGCTCAAATTGAATTCGTGCTCTGTTTTAGTACTACGTACTCTGTTTTTGCGAACATAGTATCATGCGGCTAGGCGAACCTTAGATACTATAGAACCTTAATTTACGATGATTCTGCACAATGTAGCATGGCTAGACAACGAGGCTTAGGTTCACGGTCCCGAAACACTAGACGGGAGCATTAGCCCGTGGAGGACGACACCACACCGTCCACTTCGCTTGGTCGGCTCCCGAAATGGGATGAGCAGACTTTGTTCTTTGCCCCTGTCCACCACATTTCTGAGAGGGTGAGACGGGGAACCGAGCCCGGGAGGACACGGCATCACAGCTCTGGCTGCGATGGTCTAGGCGATTTGTACAGGATGCACATCGCCAGAGACCGTGAGACGAGACTCCTATGGGAGTCTTGCGGACTAGTTGCTCTGTTCGAGACCTCCGAGGCTATGGTCGCCTCCAGCGGGGGTCACCACGTAGTACGCGCTTTGGTGGAGTTCTTCTGGGACACCACCAACACCTTTCATTTTCCCTGGGGCGAGATGATGGTCACCCCTACAGACTTCAGTCTCATCACAGGATTGGAGTTCACTTCTGTGCCGTTGCCGTTTGACGTCTTTTCTCCAGAGGTCGAGGAGCTGTTGGGGCCGATTGTTGTTCGGGCCCGAGCTGAGGTCGAGACGACTCAGTTCAGTGCTAGAGGGATTCGCCGCTCGACGCTGGCAGCGGCTCTCGATGATGATGCGACCACCCGAGAGCAGCGGGTGCGCATCTTCGTGCTGATGTTG